CAAAAGCCAATAGAATAAAAGGGAGTAGCACAGCTAAGGAAAAGGGGGGAAAATGGCGGACTGCGTTGTTTGGCAACCCCCATGAAATGGTCGTTCGACCCCAAATGGGGTCCCGACCCACAGGTTGAGAATCACTGTATTAGAGCATCTTCACTGGTGCAGTCCAATATACTGTAACGGAGTCATGATAGTAAAATGGGGCTGTGTTGAGACTCTTAATCCTTGAGTTCTTCTGTTTCGTAATATAATATAAAGGATGGTCCTTCCCTGAAACTAATGCATTGTTATGAGCTTCAAGTATTTTTAACAAACTCACTTTTCTCCATTATGATGAAATGCCTACATACTATTATTCATTACTTAATGATTGCCATGTTTAGCGACCATTCAAAGTTACATTGATGTGGATGGTTTTTCACACTTACGACCATTGCAGTGTCCCTAGGATCACAAGATTCGGGCACATTTCAATCAGTTGGCATTTATGACCATCACAGCATCCTGTTGTCACGTGATCGTTTGTGTGCTTCACCAGCTGGCTTCTGACAAGCAGAATCAATAGAGAACCCAGCAGTCAAATTGGCAAGACATGGTCACGTGATGTCTTGCTTAACCACCACGAGTGACTTGCTTAACCACAGCGGAAATGAGGTCATAAATCCATTGCAGTCATATGATGATTCGCGAAGCAATCATTCTGCTTAGTGTGACGGAGTTGCTTGTTCCAATTGTGATCATTAAATGAGGACTATCTGTATATGTGCTTGTATATACAGTAGATTTTTGTATTTAGTTACAGGAATGAAAAAGAAGAGGAAGGCACACAACTTGAGCTATATTTTAAGTAACTTCACAAATGCATTATTTTTTTCATTTGTTTCACCTTCAGCCTTGATTTCAGTTCCTTTCTCAGCCTCTTGTTCAACTGTGTTTCCACCAATTTTTCTTTACTGTCACATGATAATTTGTACAGATTTTCAACTCTCCTGCTCTTAGCCATTTCCAGGTCTTGTTGTTATTTGACTTTTTTTTTTAATGTGCAGGTTATGTAATACTTTGTCTTGCCACATCTCTTTTCTGTTCTTCATTTGGTCTTTCTTACAAGCCAGTTTGGTCTCTCCAGTAGTCAGTAAACCTTCATGGTGTACTAGCTTCAGTGCATCTTTTTCACTGTCCCCTCTTTTTCTTCTTTAATTGTCTGGTGTTTACTTGCAATATTCCACATCCCTCTCTTTTCCTAAGTCAGCAGAGTCTGTCAACATTGTTGCATGGATGAAGGGCGTGATTCACTGTCATTATTCATTTGGTCTTCCTATCCAGGGCTTTTAGTTCTGCCTGAGTCCGGTCCACTATTCCAATTGTGTATGTAATGACTGCATTTCCCAGATTTTAATTGCCTTGACGATGGTGTTTCCTCCACTGAATTTAGATGATAATTTTTTTTCATTCTCTCGATGCATTCAGTTCTAATCTTTTTTAACATCAATGTACTTAATTTCAGCTTGAAGGATGCCAGGTATTTGTATTGTATCAAATTGGTATCCTACTCTATTTGTGTAAGTATACCTATAGAAATATTTTCTGTTTGTATATCCTATTTGTATCCTATCTACGATGACTGTTACTATTGGTACTATCTTTGCTTTCTTTTGCCATAGTCATTTTATTATTACTATTATTATGACAGGTTGCACAGTCAGCGAGATGTTTAGGCTGGATCTGGTCTTTGTTATTATTATTTCATTCTACCTTTTTATACATTTTAGTCAACGGAAGAGAACATACTTAATACTTCTGCCTCCTAGTTTACTCACAACAATAATCTTGCAAGGTGGGTTTGGCTGAGAGAAAGTAACTGGCCCAAAGTCACCCAACTAGCTTTCATGTTCAGGGGATGCCTGGAACTAACTGTTGTTTGGCAAATTCATTGTACGAAGATACCTTTCATACAATCCAAGACCAATGATGTTTCCTCTCTCACATTTAATATTGTTTGTTTGATTGCATCAGACCAGATGAGAAATCTGGAGAAATTTGACATGCTGTTCTTTGAACCAGAGGTGGCCTGAGAAGAACACAGTATTACCATAATAAAAATTTGACCCCACTGGGGCTAAGACAAACAACTGCATTTGTTTGTTGCTTTGTTTGGTTCTGATGCAGATAGTCTTTGACTTATTACAACTGAGCCCAAAATTTCTGTTGCTAAGTGAGACATTTCTTAAGCAAGTTTTGTCCCATTTTGTGACATTTTTGTGTCACAGTTGTTAAGTGAACCACGGAAGTTGTTAAGTTAGTGACACAGGCTTCCCCATTGATTTAGCTTGTAAGAAGGTAGCAAAAGGTGATCGCATGACTCAGGGACACTGCAACCGTCATAAATAAGAGTCAGTTGCCAAGTGTCTGAATTTTGGTCACGTGACTTTGGGGATGCTGCTTAAGTGTGAAAAACTGTCGTAAGTCACCTTTTTCAGTGCCTTCGTAAATTTCAGTGGTCACTAAGTGAACTGTTGTTAAGTTGAGAACTACCAGTATTAAAATCCTTCCGTTCAGATTCCTGGAAAAATAAAATCTAAACCTGCAAAATAAATTCAAGAGTCTAGTTCCACGTTTGCAGTATCTATTTGGCACTGACAAGAATTATTTTAATACGGTTACTGTAAATATATGCAGTCTCCCATTTTGCCCAGTTCTTCACTTTCACCAGACTTTGTGAACGGCCCTGTATTGGTCTTCCTTTACTTGACAATGTCCACAAGTTAGACTTGCAACTCCTAAAATTCCCAGCCAAGGCAGCCTTTGAATTCTGAAAAAAAACATGGTCCCCGGCATCTGGTGAGGGACGGCTACCCACTATGCTTTTCATTCTGTAGTTGCCATGTCAACTATACAAACAGTTCTTGTAACAGAAGAAGAGTAGCAAGAGTTCCTTATTTTAAGCTCTGATTCAAATGCCACAGTTATCTGAACAGCTAACCCGTTACATAAGGCAAAAGAATAAGACCGGAAGAAAATAAAAATGAAAATAAATCTTTTTTTAGGATCAGTTTCCATTTCTGTCTTCCGGATGTATCTTTTTATAATAACTATTTCCTTGTTCTCACTTAAAATGGAAGGGCTCCAGATGTCTTTTTATTCTGTGGATCTGTTTTTGATTTAGAGACCACGTTCCTCTCTAAATGAAAGGAGTTTTTTTGCTAACACTTCCTTAATAGGAAGCTATCCCTGGAACTTCTACACTGTTATTTATTGTTAGTGAAACATCTTCCGCCAATCTTGGAATTCCCTCTGCATGTTCATGGATGCGGTGTAGATGTGAATGTGCAATTTTGCTTTTAGAAAACTGAAGATCAGATTTTATAAAGACTGCTGTTCAGAGGGCACATGCCCAAACAGAGAACTTTAGTCAGATATTTTTAACGTTATGAACAAAATGCTTGCCTATTTTCAAGTTTCTTCAGGATACCTCATTTGTGCCCCTGTGTATTTGTGTGTGTGTGTGTGTGTGTGTGTGTGTCTGTGTGCCTAACCTCATTTTCTTCCATTTATTTAGTTTGCAGTTCTTTTAGGTTCTTTGTCATCTTCCTCTAAGTATGCAATTTGTCCCATTTTAAATCATTTATTAGGCATTTAAATACAGTGAACGTTTTCATCCATGTTCTTGTTCTCAGTTTTTCACACAGATTTGCTCTGAAGTTCCTCCCCCCCCCCCCAGTCCCACTTAGATTCATTTCTTCTCCTTCCAGCAGGTTGGCATAAGAAGAAGTTTTAAAGACAGGTTAGGAGAGGTGATGAATTCTGGGAGGCATTGATCCTTTTTCTACATTTTTGCCCTTTTGGGTTTTCTTTCTTTTTTTTTTTTGAAACGGATTACTTGCTTAGTGTCTGGGTGTTGCTGAAGCAGAATCGGAAAGGGACGAACTTTACATAAATCATTTATACTGAACACTTGGTATGCCGGTTACATAAATCAACAACAGTATCCATTACCATTCTCTCCCCCCCTCCCTTTACCAGTATTATCTTGATGTGGCTGGTCCCAACATTTGGGCATGCTGAACCCTGCCTTCAGAAGGCTAGCATTTGGTAATTAATTATGCTGGGCACATAGAGCTTGGCCCTTGCTACGGGGAATAATTGCTCCCAGCCAACAGACAGGGTTTTAACTTCAGTGGCAATAATAAATAGAAAGTCTCAGGTGATGCCACTATTTTAAAGTAATTAATCATCTCCACTCTTCCTTCTCTCCCTCCCTTCCTCTCCCCCCCCCATGTGCTCCCTTCCATGTTGATTCCCTCTACCTCCAAGTAGGAAAATCCAGCAATAAATCTTTAATGATATATATGTTTGAAGTGATCTGTTACCTAACCCTTGGGTTCCCCCCCCCCTTGTGCGTACCTTACATGTCCAAAGATTTTTTCCTTCACCCGCATACTTATTGTAAACGCTGCAAGTTGTGAACTTCAAGTGTGCATGAAAGGACTGTTATGTAGGAAGGTAAAGCTTAGCAATAGAATCTCTGAAATATCGTTAACTTTTTTTTTTAATATCATGCTGTACATGTGCTAATAGAGATGCTTAATTAACACCAGTGGGGCTGTCAAGAAATGCATCTTTCAAAGAGGTTGTATTATTGCCATCTCTGCCTTCTCCAGTACCAGAAAGTGGTGCCTTGTTTTGGACTGGATGCAAAATACATGCATTTCAGCTGTAGCATATAAGTTCACCACTGGATAAGAATCCCAGCCCTCTGCAAATGTCTGCGCAGTTTCCGCTGCGTTTTTTTTTTATTATTATTTAAGGAGAATATGCTACACTACAGAGAGTCTGTGATTCTCTGGATATTTCTTGGTAGATCTGACCAGCCATCATGGCTATTCAGTGTGACAGGGACAGATGTGACAGATTGGTTCTGACACCCTTCCATACCACAAATCAGTGGCTGGAGGTGACTCCTGTCCTTCTGTGATTGTGCCCCCCCCCCAACTCCCCCGCTGCAGGACAGCACAATGATGCACGAATGAACCTTGCCATCGCCCTCACTGCTGCCAGGTATGGGGCTGCCATAGCCAATTACACTGAAGTGGTGCACTTGCTGAAGAAGACGGATCCAGAGAGCGGGAAAAGCCGGGTTTCTGGAGCAAGGTGCAGGGATGTTCTAACAGGTATGTCCTTTGGGCTCTCCCTGGCATTTATGAAGCCCCTTGTCTCCAGGTAGCTTGCTCTGGCAGGTACTGGGTGTGTGCGTGTGTGTCTTTCTGTTTTTCAGAGACCCCCTTCCTTTTTATTCTTTCTGGGGCTGGGTGGCTGCCAAGATTCTGCCTGTAGCCCTTCACTTCAGTAGCTGCCCGTACTTTGAGTGTAGAGGGAGGAAGCTCTGCTACCCAGAAAGGCATTTTACTCCGCCTTAAAAGAAACGGGGAAATCCTTTCCTCCTCAAACTAAGTGCAGAAAGGTGGGTGAAGGGAGAGTGCAGTTTGTAAATATCGCTTAGCTGACAAAAAAGGCATGTTTCCAAAGTGCAATGGCATGTCATTACCGCCAATCATCCTTAACTTCTGTCAGGCTTTCATTCAAATCCTAGTGCTTTGGCAAGCTAAGTTGTGCTTTACATCCAAGCCCTTCTGTCAAGCAAAGCTGACGTTTTGAAATGCCGGGTGGTGGTGGTGGTGATGGTGCATTCAGCAATAGTACCATTTAACAAATTTCAGGGTTTAGGAATGTCATTAAATAGAGAGATCGATAAGTAAAACCAAATGATGGGGCCGAAAAAGGAGGAAGTTGCTACCCTTCTTTTCTACTTCTTTTCCCTCGTTTGATGAGTCTGATCTTCACTTTTTAAAGATTGGGGAGTCAACGTACTCTTGGCTGAAAAGTCACCTCCGTTCTAATTTTGCATAGGAAAGCGAGCTGCTGGGTTCTGCGTGCACGGGTACGAGTCTGAGTGCGCGTGTCTCTGTACACACACACTTCACAATAGATTAACTTCATGGATAAATTAATAATCCAGAGACTCAGTGACGGGGGAAACAAATGGAGTATGTGATTGATGCTGTTTTCTTTCACAGGGCAGGAATTTGATGTCAAAGCCAAATGTGTTATCAATGCTACAGGACCTTTCACAGATTCTGTGAGGAAAATGGATGAGCGGGAAGTACCAAACATCTGTCAACCAAGTGCAGGTGTTCATATTGTGATGCCCGGCTATTACAGGTAACAGTATTCAAAGCAGAGACCATTTGTAACAATCTTAAGATGTGAATCTAGTAAGAGTTGGGGCAGGGGGAATCTGAAGAAATCGTTTTCTGGCTTAAATGATCCATGTTGAATTCAGGCCTTCATTTCTTCCCCCCCACCCCCCACCCTACCTGCTGTATGGAAAATTATTTTGAATGAGTTAAACATAATCCATCACTTTTACTAAGGGGGGGAGTTTATATAGGACAGCTAACTAGTCTTTTAATGGTTGTTCAAAATGCCCCCGTGTTAAAATATCCTTGCAACTGGAGGAGATAGCTGGAGTTTTGAAAGAAGAGTGGAGCCCATTCCCTTTACCCACCCCCCTCAAAAGCCAGAGTTTTCCATATCTGTATGATTTGGGCAACAAATGTCTTTGGAAGAATGCTAACTGGACAATTTTCGTAGAGGGCTGACTTAACAGATGGGAATATCTTCTCCTTGCCTGAAACAACAAAGGCTCTAAGGAGTTGTGTTCTGTCCCACATTGCGTTCTCTCTACCCTCTCGTTGGTGAGGTAATTCAAAAGAGGGTATTGGCCATAAGGAAGCCCTAGAGAATCTTCAGCAAGTTGTTGCTGGCTCAGCCAGTGTAGCAGACAGTTAACCAGTTTTACACAAATAGCCTAAAAATTACTGCAGCCCTTAGTATTCACGCAGTACATTCAGTTGTACTATATGAATGCTAAATATTACCACTAATAAGGAGTTTCGTTCAGATGTGCCCTTCTGCTTGTGGCAGGGCAGTGTTTCCACACCATATGTTGGAATACTGAATGAGAAAATGAAAATCCCAAATGTTCTGCTTGCTGAAGAGGCTGTGCCAAGCCTTGGCCAGGCAGAAGTAGCAGGACTATTGTCCCGCTCTTCATTGCCCCTCCTTGCATAAACGATATATGTCATGGCTTAACTAACATCGCAAACCCCTTTTTTTGTGTCGGACAACTGGGAAACGGTTGAAATATGTTCTAGGTTGATAAATAAATATGCCAAATTCCTTTGAACCTAGGGCTTATTAATGTATTGGGAGCTTTTCTGTAGAGCTGCCTCTTTAACGTGACTGGAATAAATCTGCTTTGCCCAAGTGCAGCATCTACTTTATTTTGTCATATAGCCCAGGATTTGGTTTCCAGCTTCAGTTCTAATAGAATTTGCCTTCTTGGTAAAGGGAACTTGCTATAAACCAATTTATAGATTCAATTGTATAAAAATTCAGAATGGGGAACCATAGGATTAGTAAAGCATTGCTTTTCTTACTTGCATGGGTCCTTCAGCAGCTGCAACATCATTCCCCCCCCCCAAAAAAAAGAATTGCCACTGTTCTGTGTAAAAGGGGTGAAAGGACTTCAGGTAGTTCTTCACCTAATGACGACAATTGAAGCCAAAATTTCTATTACTAAGTGAGTCAGTTGCAAAGTGAGTTTACCTGCATTTTATGGCCTTTCTTGCCACAGCTGTTAAGCAAACCACTGCTTAACAGTGGCTTCCCCATTGTCAGAAGGTTGCAAAAGTTGATCACATGACCCTGGGACACTGCCACTGTCAAATATGAACCAGTTGCCAAGCATTTGAATTTTGATCACATGCCCCCATGGCGGGTTGCTGCGACCATTGTAAATGTGAAAACTGGTCATAAGTCACTTTTTTTCAGTGCTGTTGCAACTTTGAGGGTCACTAAACAAATGATTGTAAATTGAAGACTACCTGTATCTGGTTCTCTTTGTGGATGCCGCTTCTGGAAATCCATTCTGGGCCTGGGCAACAAAAAAATCAGCTACCGGTTCTGCCAAAGTGGTGCAAACCGGCTGAATCCCACCATTGCCTATATAGTATATTAAAAAACAAATTTGCTGGTCAGTTTTATCAAGAAAGAGGTTGGAGATGCCCAATGCTGGTCTTTATCTCCCAGTTTTAGATAAAAATCAAGAGGGTGTCTGTACATAAGTGGGACATGTTGGCTTACTTATTTGTCATATACTCATTGTCTATCTCCATCTTTGGCCTATTCTCAGCGTTATCCAATATTTGTGATTTCTTTCAAAAGCAATTGCTCCCTAGATACGGCATTCTAAGACTACTGATTTCATCCTAGAGATTGATAAATCAAGGAATGTCTCTGTATAATAAATAAATATGTGATGCTGAAATGTAAATGTATGTATTAATTTAGCAGTCGTTTCTTACCTCTGGTGTCGGTCTGAGTCTTGTTAAAGAAAATGCACGTCATGCCATTAACAGTTACTCATCTCTTTGGAAAAGTACTTTGACATCATCTGGGTGAAATGATAAATAGTTTTAAAGGCATTTTATGTGTAAATGTACCTTTGATTTAATTAATTTAATGTTAATACACTGCAAGCATCTCCCATCGGGTTTTTTAATTTTTATATTCTTCATTAATAGTCCCCGTGTTCTCTCTGCACTCATTAAATTTATTCTTCCAATGCATGTTTTCACTTAAGCAGAAACTGTATGGCTTTTTCTCACCCCAGAGATACTGGCATGTAATCTCTGAATAATTTTAAACCTCAATCCAGTGGATGTTGCTTTTAGATTGACTGTCATTCTGCCTGTCAGAAAATGGAAAAACAGGCACTTGATCCAAAGAGTCAATTTGTGCAATCAGAGCCTAAGCTATGCGTTCAGTTCCCTAATCAGTCATTAACTTGAAATGCTAAAAAGAAGTATGGATAACAGAGATACAAAGGATAAAGAGCTAACAGTTCTCCAGATGCTGAACTATTAGCCCCAGTAGCCTCAACCAGCATGACCAGTAGTACTGGTGGCTGGAATTGGAGTTTAGAAGTACAGAGATGGGCAGTGGCTCCTCTTCCCTGTTGTATGCCAAGCTTTTTGATTCCTCTGAAGCAGTGAATAAATGGTAAATATTATTATATGGTGAATGGTGGATATTATTATTGTCATCTGGAATCAATCTATTTGGCAGCCGAACCCTGGTAGTTATTCAAAATATAGTGGAAGCGAGCAAGGCTATATGAAAGTTAGCCCTTCTCTCGGGTTCTAGCTCCTCTAGCTCAGTGGTTCTCAACCTTTTTAATGCCGCGACCCCCAACCGGTCGTAAGTCAAGGACTAAACTGGTCGTAAGTTGAGGACTACCCAAACAGTCGTAAGTCGAGGACTTTCCCTGCTTGGGAACACTGCGCATGCGTGGTGCCGCCTCCTGCGCCGGCCGAGGCATAGCTGGCAAGCGGCAGAGACGGAGTAGGCCAACCACCGGCTGAGCCACCAGCTGGCCCAGCCCAAGGGAGGTAAGGCACCCACCGTAAAAGGGGAAAAAATGGCGGACAGCTTTGTTTGGCGACCCCCGTGAAATGGTCGATCGACCCCAAATGGGGTCGCGACCCATAGGCTGAGAACCGCTGCTCTAGCTAAATCGGTGGCAGTCAAAACAAATGAAAATTATCTCCCAGCAGCCTTTTCAAAAACGTACTCAATCTACAGTTCAGATTCTTTTAAGGCAATTTAGAAACCTCATTTTGAAACTTGTCAAAAGTTTTTTTTTTTAAATAGTTTGAGTCTGTATATTAAATTTCTTAGTTTCCTGGCTTCTTTAAATCAATAGTGATTTCATTTTGAAAAGTAATTACTTATCTGCCATAGTTTACCTTGCACAAGTCCATGTTGACACCTACTTTTTAAGCTGTTCTTCTCCAAATGTATCCTTAAGCTATATATAAATATCATCTCAAAGACTTAGTGTAGAAGTTAGACTTCGAGTGTATATAATTGTCATTATCTCTCTGAGGAGCATCTCATGCATATTTTTCTGTTACCCAGACCTGTGCAGGGAAAAAAAAATACAATTATCTATAATAGCAAATGGAATTTCTATTTGGATTGGTGAATAAAAATAATATAATCTTTCTGTATTTTTATATTTCTAATATTTTAATCATGTTGTTTATTGATGTATATATTTATCTGTCATATTAAGGAACTGCCCATCTCCCTCATAGAGGCAGATATATCCCCCCCCCTGTATATAATATATACAAGTGATTTTAGTATAACTCCAATCCCTTCTAGCACTGATGATGTTAGCTAGTTGGGTAATGAAATGTCTGCAAGAAAACAACCAAACTCAGAAAACACAAAGGATTCCACAGTAGTGCTACTTTAAAAATTGTATTAGTACCATCATGGCTGAACTAATGCTTTACATCACAGTAGAGCTAGTTCTGTGCAGTAAGCAATGGCTATTGAAGATTATAATCCATGTAACTCAGGTGGTCCTTTTTGTTTTAAAACCCCCTTCTCAGTGGTGGGATTCAGCCGGTTTGCACCACTTCGGCAGAACCGATAGCTAATTTTTTGTTGCCCAGACCCAAAACGGACTTCCGGAAGCGGCATCCACACAGAGAACCCGTTGTTCACATATTTGAATCCTACCACTGCCCCTTCTCCCTAAGAAGCACGGAGAGAGATATTAGCCATTAGCCACCCAAATTATGCCTTTCTCATGGAAATGGAGAACCTTTGGATCCAGTAATAGAAACTCAACTGCTTCCATTGTAATGCCTTGTTGAAGGAACACTATAAATAGGCACCATTGGCAGCGGACCTCACTGTGTATGGAAATAGGCTGCCAGGAAGGAGGGCAAGCATGTTCTACTTGCCTTCCATCCTTCCGAGGTCAGTAAAATGAGGACCCAGATTGTTGGGGGCCATATGCTGAGTCTGTAAACTGCTTAGAGAGAGCTGTAATAACTATGAAACTGTATATAAGTCTAAGTGCTTATTGCTATTACTAGGACATGAGCACAAATCCACTTTGCTAATAGCTAGGAAAGAGAATGTGGCATAGCAATCTTCTTTCTCATTGGTGCAATTATAGTTCATAAGTGTGTGTGTGTGTTGATGTTTCTTATTTCTGTTAGAAACATTATAGGAATAAACAGTGGGATGCTCTCTTAATCTGCTGGTACCTTTCTCAAAACACTTGGCTGGCCTCTGTCACAAAGTATTAAAGAAAATGGAAAACAAATGATTTGGCCAAGATCAGAACCAGAGTGAAATAGTTTAGATCATGAATTAATCATTTGATTCCCCATTTGATGCTACTACTAAATACCTCTTTCACAGAAGGCAAACCAATTAATTTCTCACATATAACTGGCCCCAAATGGCGTTCCTTCCAATTAATGTGCACCTTCAATATATATTATTTATACATTTCCGTTCATCTAATTCTCTGAGTATTTTACTTGAGAAAGTGTTCATTTTCCTTAATCTTGTTCCCAGAGCAAAGAATAACAACAGTAAATAATAATAATTATATGGAAGAAGAAATCCACTGTTATATCAGTCATGACTGGAACCCTTGGAGCAATATCTAAATTCAAATTTTGAATGTATGTATGTATGTATGTATGTATGTATATGTGTGTGTGTGTATATGTCTATATGTCTTTGGTTATTCGGGCTTTCTCCCGCGTAAAATTGGAAATGTCTTGGCGACGTTTTGACGAAGTCCCATTCGTCATCTTCAGGCTGGTGTTTTCGGCTTCATGCTTCTAGGAGCAATGTGTGATCGTAGCTGTTTCTTCCTTTTAACTGCCAGACCTACATACAAACACCCGCGAAAACCTCAGAAAACACACACACACACACACACACACACACACACACACACACACTCACACTGCTTGGAATTGCCTATATCCTTAGGCAGTATCTTAATAATTCTTACATCCTTAATTAGGACTTGAGTTTATTAAGTTTTCACCAGTGTTAGATTGTGAATCTAACTGCAGATTACTCATCATCATCATCTCACCCCTGGTTTTTGTCTTAAGGCCTTTTGTGATCAAGAAGGATTTTAATAATTTGGAGAAAGAGAAATTGCCATCCATCTACTGTTAAAGCGGAAGACTACAGATACTTGCTTGAAATTTTGTTCTTGAGAATTTTGTGAATACTTGTGTCTTATACCACGACACTATACCACTTATACCACAGTCTGAGGAGATATAGTGGATAAATGCATGTGTATATCTATGATGTGCCAGCAGGCTCTGAAACTTGAGGAACAATCAGTTTGTGAACTACATCCCTGAGCTATAGGGGTTCTTCGGCTTGTGTCACAGGTCTTCTTGCTGCTCCCTTGTTGCAAGTGATGGTCACACTTGGATCCAAATCTGCTGCAATTTGCGCATGAAACACCTGTCAATATTAGATCCAAATCCATGATTGCAATATTGCCTATACCAGTGGTGGCGAACCTATGGCACGGGTGCCAGAGGCGGCACTCAGAACACTCTCTGTGGGCACGTGCGCCATCGCCCCAGTCCTAGGCCTTCAGCTGGGTTTTATAAAACCTTTTCGCTTTAGGCCTCCGCCACCGTATGCAAAAAAAAAAAAAAAAGTTTCAATCAGTCAATTTCAACTTCTCGCGGGAAAAAAAAAGATCTTGCAAAGTTGGAATTGATTGATTGAACTTTTTAGTCCTACTCAGTCTGCCGTTACCACCGCAGCCACGTCCACCCAATGGGCCACACCCAGCCAATGGGCCACGCCCACCCGGCACTCGACGATGCATAAGTGGGTTTTGGGTTGCAGTTTGGGCACTCGGTCTCTAAAAGGTTCGCCATCACTGGACTATACTCTTCCATTGTCTCTGGTGCACTTTTTAATAATGTAGTACTCATTGCTATTTTGCTTTAATGAAGCTTTTACAAAGGAACATTTTCAAAGAACCTGGGAAGAGAAAAAAAAGTAATATTTTTGTTGGCTTCTTCTAGCCCTGATAATATGGGACTTCTTGACCCATCTACTAGTGATGGACGAGTGATTTTCTTCCTGCCATGGCAAAAGATGACCATTGCTGGCACTACTGATACTGCAACTGAAGTTACCCATCACCCGATACCTACAGAAGAAGATATCAACTTCATTTTGACAGAAGTACGCAACTATCTTAGCTGTGATGTTGAAGGTAATTTTCAGTAACATTAAAATGTAATTTTATTCTTCTCTTTAAGGCAGAAATATATAACTTGTCCATCACAAGAGCACATGATCCCTGCCTCCCAGAGGTTTTTTTTAATCATAATTGTAATTTTTTATGCAACAGACAGGATCAAAATATATACTTGGAAGAGTAACTGTACTAATTGTGCTTCATTTTACATGTAACTCATATTAAAAACATACTTTTAGAAGTTCCTTTGCATTATGATGCCTCCCTTGGTTTAGATAAAATTATATATTTTGATCCTTCACCTGTAATGTAAGCCAGTTTCTCTCCCCAACCCCTACTTCCATCAGTAAGTTGGAAGATAAGACTTTCTTTGGAACTCCACAGTGTCAAATGAGTTCTGCTAATAGGAGGTACCAGTTACACACACACAAACACACACACACTGCTAGCAGTTCTGCCCTTGTCTTTATTTATAATGCTTCCATAGTATCAATGGGGATACCTTCCCTTATCAATTAGGATCTTCTGCAGGGAATATCTGTGCTATCAGCACTTCTGTGAAGTGTAAATTCACTGTGAAGTGTAAAAGTGTTTATGAGTCTGAATCCTGATTTTTCATATCTAAACTCCACAGCACAGCCCTGCTACACATTGAATAATTGCTGCATGCACCAACTCACTTTTCTTGTATAGCCAATCTATTAAGAGTCAGGATTTACAGCACTGGCTTTCTGTCATGTCCTTTTTATTCTAAACCAAGATGATACAACTTGAAGAACCTAGTGTTGCATGTGACTCTCAAAAAGCCTTTAACTTTCAATGTAGCAAAACCTAATTTTAATTGAATTAAGATGTAAATTAAGGTTAGTCCCCATTAACTTTTTAAAATGTGGTCCCATCACATTCCTTAAAGAGCCACTTACCTTTCACCTGCCATTGTTTCATTTTTTAAAAAATTGCCTGAGTTTAAGGAACACACTTTTCTGCTGTGTTCTCAAGTAATTTTTTTAATAAAATACATTCTTTCTCCTCCTTCACTCCCTGAATTATATAACTGATAGAAAACAAATTGAACTTTGTCGTTTGTTTATTTAAGTAGAGATGCACCCTAAATGATTTTCTAGTGATTTGTCCCTCCAGAAATGAGATTTGATAACTGGGAGACCTGAACAGATTTCATTACCAAGTTCCTTAATTATCCAGCTTCTTTAAAGCGATTCTCTAAAAAGATTCAGACTCTGACTTGCCCTTTGTAGATTTATACTCATAATCGTAATCTCTTTTTTTTAAATAAAAAAGACTGAACGTTCTAGATTGCTTGTTTGTTCTTCCTTGAAATGAATAATTGATAGTTCTGTTATTGTTGTAGCCATTAAAGGAAAATGGTCTACAGGAGGAGGAGGGGGAAAAACCCATTATCATTAGGGCTTTTCTTGCAAAAATTAATAAAAGAGCTGAGGATTGTCAGGCAAGGTGGCTGGTTCTGCTAGGCTACAGCTTGGAGAATTGATTAGGGCAGCATTTGTTTGTTTGTTTGTTTACTTAATTATTTACAAGGCAGTTCTGCAAAAGTAGTTTTCTTGAGCTTTTTAATGCTTTTGAAAGTAACCAACCTGAGCTGTGCACTGTTTTCCTCATGTGTAATTAGTTGTGTTTATAGATTGTCTGTTAGAGAATTAGCAATTGTGCTGGCCGTATCAACTCACGGCAGACCTGCCTTTTTGCTGCCAAAGACAGTGGCAGGGTTATCAACTTACACAGGCTTGGATGTGTTCCAGCTGTTTAATTATGGTGTCACACATGCTGCTTTTTCTAGTTTCATTAATTTATAAATGTAATATGGTATCTTATTTCAGTGATTAGCACTTCATTTTGGTGGCCTAAACAGGCTGGCAGAACAACATTGATTTCTCAGATTTCTGTTCTTTCGAGATATTTTTACAAGGCGTTTTTAACACCTTTGTGAAAGTATTGTCCTTAAAACAATCCTCCCCACATGCACACTCACACACAAAAGCCTGTGTAAGAGTTTTTAGTCCACTGAAGGAAGATCACAGTGGTAATTTAGACTTCCATACCTACATTTTATTTATGGGGAATAGGCGGTACACAGATGATAGAGAGCTAAGAGAGAAACAGCCTTGTGTGTTTATTTGTTTTACTTTTAAAGAATTATGTAAATGCTTATGTGAGTTGAGAGGTAATTCAGGGGTTGCCAACCGCCGGTCTGTGGACCAGCACCGGACCATGGCATGCCAGAAAGCAGGCCGCACAAACAAGCGAAGCCCCATCTGCGGGATCCAGGCAGCACACAAAACCACGCCCCCTCCTGTCCACGGAAAAACCTCTCTCCACAGAACTGGTCCCTGGTGCCCAAAAGGTTGGGGGCCGCTGAGTTAATCATTCAATGGATTAGTAACTCAATAGGAAGCAGGAAAGGGAGATGAATTTGTTTTCGCCATGAAGTATAATATTGTCATGGTCATATTCTAGAGATGTCAATAATAATTGGATCAAGGTATAGTCCATTTTTAATGTTGCGGTATTAGGCTTCTACAGACAAGTTTATACTGTTCCACATAAAATTGAAGGGCATGAAACACAGAGATTGATCACATTCTGGGTTGGGGCAAAGAAAGAACTTGCATACTGTTGATTGACCTCATGCTCAGCTGTATGGGAGAATGGCATATGTTTTGAAGAGTGTATAAATATGTTAATCACACAGGTCAATTTTTTGAAAGGAGAAAAGAAAAAAACTGGAAACTTGCTTTTTATTTGCTATGATAGGGTCTTAGAAAGCAACGGCAGCTGTAGCTGCATGTTTCTTTCCTTTCTTTTGTTTTTCTTATGTGTATTCAACTTTTCTTCTTCCTTTTCTTGGTTGTGGAAATCATAATTTACCATTGTCTACCCAAAATCGCAAGTGGAGGAAGAAGCACATGAGCCTGATTTTTTTTTTTAAAAAAAACAAGGAATACAAAATGGGTGCTCACAGTCCAAGGGTACTTCCCATAGCCTTTCCTGAAATTGCAGAAGTCCTTGACCAAGCAAGATTTTATTCAATTTGCAATAATATTTTGTATACATCTCTGCCCCCACTCCCAGGACGTTGTGGCCATCAGCTTGCCACTCAAAAACCATCTACGCACAGGCAGCAACAGAAATTATGCTAATTGTTTTAAAGTGAGTGTAAGGAATCAACCACAGTAGATCTAGGACAGCAGGGATTTCCTGTATCCAAGTTCACATTCCTTTTTTTTTTTTTTTTTTAAATACGGACCTTCATAATTTTCTCTAACGTTAATGGCTTCAAACAGAACTGGGGAAAAAAAACTCATTAAAAGCATCTTGCTATTTTTCAGACTTTCTTTTTGCTATCAACTTTGAATTTGTTCATAGGACAGAAGGGAAAAATGATGAAAGGCTGACTAGAGAATTATACATAATAGAAAATAAATTCAAAAAGAAAACAAAACAAAATATATTTTTTCATTCTGGCTCTTTGGGTGGAAAATTTGGGTGGGTCCTTCTTTAATATTCTTACGCTTTCCTCTTCAATTTGGATGCTACATTTCTTTCCCCATCCTAAGAAAAACACATTAGTACTTTTTTTTATGTTTCTCTGAAATATTAGTAACTAGAAACAATCTAGAAGAAGTAAACTACAGAGAAAAATGATGGATGAACCTTTCTTTCTTTTTGACTCAGTGACATGTGAAAATAAACTGCTCTAGTGTTATCTCTGTGACCCCTTGAGGTGGTCTACAGGAAGCCAGATAACTTTAGTCCTTAAAAAAAAAAAAAAAAAAAAAAAAAAACCAAGGAAGAGAATTTAAAGAGTAAAAACAGCAATTTCAATTTTTTTGACCTTTCTGAACTGCAAAATGTGCCTGACAAATTCTGCCTCTTTCCACAGAGAATGATGACAGTACTCTTTCCTGAGGTTTTGGCCAAATAGAATAATGAACAATTCCAGACTAGTTCATAAAAATCGTCCTATAAAGTTCCTGGCCAGGCAGATTGTATTTTCCACATAGTAAGATTTATGAATTCACTGGTTAACTTGATTTTTCTCTGGAGGCTAAAATGCTTTGTTTATACATGTTGACAATGAGTTGCAGTCCATTTTCACAAATTCAGAATTTACAATGGTGTTTTCCTAAGTTAGCAACTGTTAAATTGTGTCATGCAATGTAGTTAGTTCTTTGAATTATTTAAATACAGATTGAGAGGAAGCTTTGGGGATATTGATTTAAGAGTTCCTGATAATAGTTAGTGATCTTGTATAGATGATATTTGTCCCAAACAATGAGGAAATAAACTCAAAACAATAAGGGAAATTCCAAAGCTCTGAATTAGGTAGAAGATCCTAAAAAAATGTATCAAGAACTATTTGTAAACATAATGTCCAAATATTCATTGATAGACCTATGTGAATGAGAAGTTTGGCAAAAGTAAGCTGTATGTGTAATTATTAAACAATAGAGGAAAGCTAAATATATAATTAATTGCTTAGCCAGGGGTGAGTCAAGATTGAATCATAAAAAAATAACTGTTGTAAAAAATTGTGGAAAATCTTATTAAGTATGCCAATATTGAGGTCAGATTTTGAGATTTAGGACATCGTGATTTTTGCTTTTCTTGGACCAGACTTCCAAGTTACCTCACTGGCATCTCTTTTTTTCCTCAGAAAACCTATTTTTTAGCTTTATTACCAAACTCCTATATTTTTGTCTTCTGCTTAATTATTTGTTTAATTGAATCAAAAGATGGAATTTGTACTGAGTTTGTATCTCTCTTTCACTTTGCCTTTTCTCATTAAAATTCGTTGGAACTAACAGTATTCTTTCCCCAAGACGACATTTTAAAAGCTGTGATTACTTTCTAACCTAGCAGCATTTAAATCATATTATTTTGAAATCCTTTCCTCAGATGGTATTTCTGACTTCTTTTTTAAAAATTTTCTTATTTTGTTTTCAATTACAGTGAGGAGAGGAGATGTTCTGGCAGCATGGAGTGGAATTCGTCCCCTTGTGACGGATCCCAATTCTAAAGATACACAGTCCATATCTCGAAATCATGTGGTGCATGTTAGTGACAGCGGCCTTGTGACTATCGCAGGTACTAGGATGTTGCTTCTAATTCTTTTCTTCCTTGTTGGAATTATTTCTTAGTGATATGAAGGAAACTGGTCAGATACATATGCTGTGGTTCTCAGTTCTGAAATATTAGAAGAAGAGTTTGAAAACTGATGCCCTCTAAATAACGTGGGTGACAGATCCCATCAGCTTTATCCAATAAGTGCAGTGTTGTGTTAGGATTGCAGGTGTCTTGTCTTCCTGTACAATGGAACTATTTCTTTCTAAGAGCTTTAGTTGGTGTGTTTTTAAATAAAGGCTTTAAGGGATCAATTTTTATGCACTATCTGTATTTGTTGATACTCCCAGGTGGGAAGTGGACAACCTATCGCTCAATGGCCCAGGATACCATTGATGTTGCAGTAAAAACTCATAACCTTCAGGCTGGTTCCTGTAGAACTGTAGGATTGCTCCTGCAGGGTGCAGAGGGTTGGAGCCCTACCCTTTATATCCGCCTGGTTCAAGATTATGGACTTGAAAATGAGGTGAGTTTAGGCTAGTTAGTAGAACCACTTAAATCTACAGAATTCTATGCTGACGGGTACGAATGGAATGGAACTTTCTTGTCTCTGAAGCTCCATCCCCTTGAATAGTATGAAATAGAGGCAGGGGAAATAATTTGCCCAAAATGAGTGGAGGCGGTTTCTATAAATACGATTGTGGACCGTGACATAAAGGGAGTGAGTAAAGCCCCAAGTTGTGAGTCAGCTCACTACTTGGTGAGTGCTCTGAGGACAGTAAAGCAATCAAAAGAGCAGTGGAAGAAGTGGAATAAAGAGAAATGGTGATTGAGAAGAACTATTGTAGAAGGCAAGGAGAGGACGAAACAAACACTTGAAGAAAAGGTAGTGGCAATAGATTACCTTAATCAAAATTTTTCATATGTTGCCTTAACAGCTCAGTACAGATATTAGTTCATTGGAAGAAGGGATTTTTTTTAAAGTATTCAAAGGGTTAGGGATTATTTACAAACCACGTTATCGACTACTTTTTAAATTTTTAATTATTCATAGACTAGTCTTATTCTTGACTTGTTGGCTTTTTGCCTTTGATACCATCTTGGGTTGGCTGTTGAATCACAGACAAGGGGAGAGCTTTCAAGGATGACTCCTAACAAGATGGAGTTCTCTTCCAAAAGGCATCAGTCTCTTAACCTCTTCTCAATTCTACAGGTTGCTCAACATCTTGCAAATACATTTGGGGACAAGGCTTTTGAAGTGGCAAAAGTAGCCCAGGTAACTGGGAAGAGGTGGCCTATCGTTGGGAAACGTCTTGTCTCCGAGTTTCCATATATTGAGTCAGAGGTACGAAATGTCTTGCGTTGCTGCTTCTCTTCTTCCTCCTTTCTTGCATTCTTGCTTTTAGTGTTGAAGGCTCTGTTTGTTTCTTGCCATATAAAATCGGAAGCTTCATTTATCTCATCTAATCACCAAGGGAAAAAAAGCTTGTTTTATTCTTACATTAATAGCAAATTCTGAAATATTTTAACTCTGTCATGACAGAGTACACCTGAAAGATGTACTTGCAACGACCAGTAGGAAATCAGTCAATCTCATCAGAATCATGGGAAGAACGGAGAACAAAAAAAAGATCTAGAGGAAGGAATTGGATATGTCTAGTTTAGCGAAGAGAAAGACGAGGGAGGACATGATAGCAGTGTTCCAATATCTCAGGGGTTGCCACAAAGAAGAGGGAGTCAAGCTATTTTCCAAAGCGCCTGAAGGCAGAACAAGAAGCAACGGGTGGAAACTAACCAAAGAGAGAAGCAACCTAGAACTAAGGAGAAACTTCCTGACAGTTAGAACAATTAACCAGTGGAACAATCTGCCTCCAGAAGCGGTGAATGCTCCAACACTGGAAGTTTTTAAGAAGACTGGACAGCCATTTGTCCGAAATGGTATAGGGTTTCCTGCCTAAGCAGAGGGTTGGACTAGATGACCTCCAAGGTCCCTTCCAACTTTACTACTACTACTACTACTACTACTACTACTACTACTACTACTATTATTATATCAGTAGGATACCCAAATGTCAACGCTATAACAGTGGATGTTTTTCCAAAAGGCAACTGGACTTTCTTGTTTTTTTTTCTTTGAAAACATTTCGCTTCTCATCCAAGAAGCTTCTTTGGCAGAAGGTAAAAGATTGGAGAAGTTTAGATCAGGGGTCCCCAACCCCTAGGCCACAGTCCAGTACCAGGCTGTGGTCCCGTTCAAAATCAGGCCTCGCGAGCAGTGGGCAAGCGCATGCATGCACATGCATCTCCACTTGCATGAGCGCTGAGTTAAAGGGTGTGGGTGCGAAGCTCCATTTGTACAAGCAATGTGTGCCCCCTGCTTGCACAAATAGAGCTGCGCACGCACTCCCCCCACCGTTCACATGGAACCATTCCCTCTCCCCCCCCCCCCGCCACCGGCATTCCGCAAAGCTGGAAAGATTGGAGGCCACTGGTTTAGATATTTACATGTGAGGTTAAATCTTCTCCCCCAAATGTGCACATTTGCTCAGCTGTAATTCCAGGTACATCATGGTTGTAATCCAAAGGAATGAATGGGGAGAGAGGCCTCTTGTAACTGGTGAAAAGTTGAGTTAAGCAGCCTAGATAAATACGTTCTAGAGTAAAAATGGTGGTAGATAATTCCAACATGGATTGCTATCAGGTGAACGTTGCATTTCATTCCTTTTGTGTAAATTTCTCAGACTGAAGCAGTTATTATTTTTTTCCCCCCAAACATTTTAGATCGAGTATGCCATCGGTGAATATGCTTGCACTGCAGTGGACATGATTGCTCGTCGCACTCGCCTGGCTTTTCTGAATGTCCAAGCTGCCGATGAAGCCTTACCGAGAATCATTGAGATAATGGGCAAGAAACTGAAATGGAGTGAACAGAAGAAAAAGGTACTGAAGAGGCTCCTGATTTCATAATCAGGAAGCTTATGAGAATGTTTCCAAGGAGTTTTATTTGACTTTGGTGGAAAATTTGAATAACGTTCTCAATAACCAAGGGCTGCGTGATGGTTCACGTTTCTGGACAAAGTAAGGGAGGCTCATTTGCAAAAACCCCACTCAGTCATATAGAGTTCACTGAATGCCGTGGGCTCCATCAAAGGGACTGTCCATATGTATCACTAGTCTTGACTTGGGTTAACAGTTCTTAATGTGAACATTGAGCCCCGGTCCACTTCTTCTTGCTGTAATGTACAGATCAGATCCTGCTATTGCATGGGTGGCCAGTCATGGTTAAGAAATACTGACAAAGTTATGTGTGAACTATGCCAATCTCCCAACTCAGCTCTACCACACAGTCTTGTTTTGAGAAATGGGAGAAACACCCCTCCACACACACACACACACACACTCCTTGCAGGAACTCTCTTCCCACCACAAACAGCACGTATGTATCTGTAGAAAAAACAAAGCCCTGTGCAGTTACAATTAAAGTAAGGAAATGAGTGCATAGAAGTTACAGGCCAAGCATTTCTCTCCCCCCCCCCTCCGCCAAATGCACACACCTATAGTTCTCCTAAACAAACATCCACAAATGTAGCATTGAGGGTTTGTTGAGAAGCCCTTCAGACAGGCAGCAATACGCATGCTGGCTTCAGCATGAGAGAGAACTGGGGTTGTAAAGTACTTTTTCTCTTTTTTTTTTTTTACCTTCACTATTTGAAAAGGAGTTCTTGGATCTTATTCCCAGCCTTTTGAAAATAAAAGATGCAGTCTTACCTAGCCTGCATGCTGTGCTGAGGGCTCCTTCCTCACAGCTGGATAGCTGCTTTCAGGTAGAGGTGCCTGTTTTCAAGTGCAGGATTTTGAGCATAAAAGGCAGCATAAAGCAGACAATGATAAAGGGGGGGGGCGGCCTTTCTTCAAATGACCCTCTCTGCTTACTGAGATCATCCAGGAGGTTCACCTACAGTTGCCATGAGCTCATCTGGCTGTCAGCCAGAATCGAGCCAACTCTTTTGTCGCTTAGCTTCCTTGGAACACATTCCCTGCGTGGCGAAGGGGCCTGAGTTTTTCATTAGCTTTTAGGAAGGCTGTTACGCCATGCCTTTTTGTACAAGCTCACTGAGTCAGACTGTTGATTTTAATCTAATTTGTTTTGCTTGTTACATTTTAATTGCTTTCGAAGTCATCTTTTAAGTCGGGGGGGGGGCTCCCCAACCCCAGGGCTGGGGCTCAGTCCCAGGCTGCGGCCTGTTCAGAAAGGGGCCAGGCAAGCGGCGGACAAGCACACAATGGCAGCAACTCCATTTGCGCGAGCGACGGGCACTTGCGTAGGAAGCTCCATTTACGCGAGCGGGTGTGTGTGCTCCCGCCGCTTGCACAAATGGAGTTTCGAGCATGAGCAGCCAGGCCCACTGCTTGCATGGAACCATCCCTATCCGGTATACAAAGCTGGAAAGGTTGGAGACCCCTGTCTCTAACGTTTTTATTTGAATAAAAATTGATTAAAATTTTAATGCAATTTATTTCAATATTTGCTTTGTTTGTAAACATTGGGAACTTCTAGTAGAGGAAGTAAAGGAGAGAGGGAGGTAGGGAAGTAGGGAAGGAAGGAAGGAAGGAAGGAAGGAAGGAAGGAAGGAAGGAAGGAAGGAAGGAAGGAAGGAAGGAAGGAAGGAAGGAAGGAAGGAGCTTGCCATTTCCAAATTACAGGCTCCATCATTACCTTGCTGCTTGAAGAGAGTAATCAGCACGTGCCATAAGCCTAAAAGAACTAAATGCATTAAACATCTCACTTGGGGCATTCACTGTACCAAAAGGTAAAGGCCATCTCGTGGTCCCTTTGTCTGCAAGTGCAAGGCTTGCTGACATCGCTGCGAGTTGCCTGTATGGATTAAGGGCATGAAACATCCCTAAAAATTCTTTACCTTGCACGTCTCCCGGGGTAATTATCGCTTGATAATCAACACTTGTACAACCAAACCAGTGATCTAGCTGAAGCATGAAATGCTGCCTAATCTTAATTACCTTGTTCACCTTTAAGCACTTTTTGGTCATCAACTGCTGATATTCCTCTAAGGACCAGCAATTATAATTAAGTGAAAGGAGCCAATAAAACATTCCAGCAAAGGGGAAATTCAGAATGTAAATATTTGCTGTTACCCTTAGAGCTCAGGTTGTGTGCTCTCCCCCTCTTAGGAAGAGCTTGCGACTGCACAAAAGTTCCTGTACTATGAAATGGGCTACAAGGCAAAGTCGGAGCAACTGACAGATCAGAGTGAAATCACTTTATCCCCAGGAGATATTGACAGGTAACTTAACACAGGGCAAATGACTATTACTTAGTTTCCAGGGATTTGGATGTATCGTATGAGGTATCTGAAAAGGGGATCTTCGGCCCTGCAAGCTGAGTTGTGCTTGATTTATGTTATTTGCCCATGTCCGGATCCTTCCCCCCCCCCCTGGTATATTTGAATGATATTATCCCCTCTCTGAGAAATTCATACATAATTGTATTTTCACCCTGGGTCAGAAAAAGGTAGAGGCCGTTAAGCCATTTTTTATTTCTTTGTATCCCTCCTTTATTATTTTTGCAAATAACTCAAGGCAGTGAACATTTACCTTCCTTCTCCTCTCTTCCCCACAATGACCCTGTGAGGTGGATTGGACTGAGAGAGAGAGAGAGGGACGGAGAGGGAGGGAGGAGGGAGGGAGGGAGAGAGAGAGAGAGAGAGAGAGAGAGAGAGAGAGAGAGAGAGAGAGAGAGAGAGAGAGAGAGAGAGAGAGAGAGAGAGAGAGAGAGATATCGACCCAAGGTCACTCAGATGGCTTTCATGGCTAAGGCGGGATTGGAACTCCTGGTCTCCCAGTTTTAAGCCTGGCACTAAAATTTCTGTTGCTAAGTAAGGCAGTTGTTAAGTGAGTCACACCTGAAAGGCTATAGGCAAAAGACTTTCCTCACCCTTCACTTTAGATTTGTTTAATTTGTCCATGCAAAGATTGGATTTGGCTGTCCGTGGGTATGGAAGCATGTTTTCTATAGGAATATAGCAGGGGGTCTTCAAACTTGGCCCTTTTATGACTTGTGGATTCAACTCCCAGAATTCCTCAGCCAGCATGTCTGGCTGAGGAATTCTGGGAGTTGAAGTCCACAAGTCATAAAAGGGCCAAGTTCGAAGACCCGTGGAATATAGCATCTCTTTGGCTTCTGCAGTGGAAAGTAATAGCATTATAAGAAGGGAAGTTTGAGGGAGTGGAAGTGCGCATTGATCAAGCCAGTTGAAAATCCTTTATATGTCTAAGTGAGGTTTTTCTTTGCTGGTTTAAAATTGCTTGTGGAGTATGTCAGGGTATAGCTTTTTCATGCATTATCTGTGTTGCAGGTACAAAAAAAGATTCCACATGTTTGATAAAGAAGGCAAAGGTTTTATTACTATATTGGATGTGCAGCGTGTGCTAGAGGTAACATTTCACTTCATTCTTTTTTTTTAATTCATCGGAATTGCCTGGCATGATATTAATAGTGTGTTTTTAATCCAGCCATGTGAGTTTTTCTCTCCCTTTCATATATTTTACAGAGCATCAACCTTCAAATTAATGAAAGTGCACTCCATGAGATTTTGAATGAAGTGGATTTGAACAAAAATGGGCAGGTTGAACTCAACGAGTTTTTGCAAGTGAGTACTTCCTTTAATTTATACACGTATATCTTTATCAATCTAATATAATGGTATGAAAAAAGCCTCGCAATACTCATAATGTTCAGTTCATTAATATTGGAAGGGAAAGTGTATAGGCATTAATTTCTGGCAGATATTAGTCAAAAATGGAAGCCACACCTTAATTGATGCAAAATGGAAATTATTTCTTTGATTCAGTTAGAGCAGTGGTTCTCAACCTGTGGGTCGGGACCCCATTTGGGGTCGAACGACCATTTCACGGGGGTCACCAAATCACGCTGTCCGCCATTTTTTTCCCTTTTCCCCAGCTGTCCTACTCCCTTTTATTGGTGGCCACACCCACTTGGGGGTCACCACAACATGGGGAACTGTATTATGGGGTCACGGCATTAGAAAGGTTGAGAACCACTGAGTTAGAGGAAATCAATCAGTCAAATGAATTACCTTCTGTCACTAAAACATAACACACATCGAATGCATGCATATTAAATAACAATACAATAATAGAGTTGGAAGGGACCTTTGAGGTCTTTTAGTCCAACCCCCTGCTCAGGCAGGAAACTCTATACCAGGGGTAGGCAATCTTGGCTCTTTTATGACTCATGGACTTCAACTCCCAGAATTCCTGAGTCAGCCATGCTGAGGGGAAAGGGAGAGGTTTCCAAGCTGAGCTATGCTGGCTCAGGAATTCTGGGAGTTGAAGTCCACGAGTCATAAAAGAGCCAAGGTTGCCTACCCCTGCCCTATACCATTTCAGACAAGTGGTTGTCCAGTCTCTTCTTAAACCTACATCTTTTATGCTGCATCCCCTGTTAGCTCTGTTAACTTGCATGTATACCAGATATGAAGCTATTTTGGACAGGTAGGAAAGAGGCTCATATGTTTAATCTGGGCTGATCTTATGGTGTGCGGTCTCTGCAGTAGCTGCACAGTATTATAGAAGTATGAAAGAGGGAGAATTGCCCCAAATACCAAAATAAGAGTGGTGAAATGATTTCAGGTCATCGTCTGGAAAAAGTAAAGCAGGAAGGCTTTCGGGTTCTTGACTTTTATTATCTTGTCAGACTTTATTAAAATCTGACCTTTACCTTGTTACTTAGAATCTTTGAAAGATTCCTTATAAGCAGTAATTGTCCAGTCAGAGGAAAGTATAAAATCAGTTGCTCCTGATCCCACTTGTGGCTATTACTCATAGTGTTGCTATTCAGGATAGGAACTTTCAGTAGTTAACACCCAGTTTGGGGAACTTTTCTACAGTACAGTTGTAGCTAGTGCTAGTACGGCATTGGGCAAAATGTTGCATTTTTGGTTTCTGAATATATATTAGTCAACACTTTAAATTTTGAATTGCTCCAGCAATTTCTGCCTTTTTTTTAAAAAAAAAGTAACAATCCGTTTTCACCTTCCTTTTCTGCTCAACCAGGGTTTTTTTTTGTCAGTGTTGTTTTTCACTACTATTTTTAAATTTATCACCTGTTAAAATGGGTTATAAAACAATAAGCCCTCCTAAAAAGTAGCAGTTAAAAAAAACCTGTAAAAACAAGAAAAGAGGCACAGCAGCATAAATTCACCTCTAAGTTCTAGGAATAGAAATGAGTCTCCAGATGGTACCAAAAACTTGGCAAAGCTTGCTATAACCGTACAATTGGAGAGTTCTCCAAACAGAGTGTATCTAAATAATTATCGCCTATATTGAAGTTCTGTCCTGAATTGGAGTGATAACCCACAAGTGGGATCATTAGCAATAGGAACAATAATTTACATTTTCCTCTGAGAAACCTTCAGTTCATCATTTTACTGAGACGTTTTTAAAAATACGTCTGTAAACCATTAAAATGCAAGTTGGAGGGAAATTTACCCTTCTAGAGCCAACAATGTCCTTTCTTCCTGGGATAAAAAATAAGTTTTGCATTGTTGTCGCTGTTTGGCTCTTGGTTTAGCCCAACTCATTGTCATGCATTGTATTCTCTCTAAGTACAGCTACTTAAATTGCTATATATGTCCCTCTCCTTAACCCAGCGGTTCTCAACCTGTGGGTTGCGACCCCTTTGGGGGTCGAGCGACCGTTTCACAGGGGTCGCCTAAGACCAGGGCTTTTTTTCTCATAGAACGCTCAGAAGGGCGTTCCGGCACCTTTTTTTGATGGATTTTTTTCAACTTTTCCATGAGCTGTGCTACTCCCTCTATTCTATTGGCTTTCGAAAGCCAATAGGAATTGTCCAGACCTGGTTGTTAACGGCTATCTCTGCACTGCTGAGCGTGCCAAAAGACCCAGCCTGCAAACGTTGCACATGCAAGTTGTCTGCAGCAAAGGCAAGTTTGCAGGAACTTTTCACCCCTCCCTGCTGAGCAACTACGCCATCTCCTACTTGTAAGTAAAAGAGGACCAGGGGTGAGAGGTGGGGAGCAGCACTTAATTCTGCCCTGCCAAAAAAGCGGAGTCCATGTGCACTCCTGCCTCGTGCTCACCCATGTAAGCCAGGTTCTCCATGTCGCGCTGCAGCATGGAGAGCCAAGCACTGAAGCACAGAAAACATGTCCTCACCTGCCTCGTGCTCACCTTGTGCGCCATTGGTGTGCATTGCGGCTGCTGTGGGAGCTGCAGACCCCGCTTGACAAGCGGGGCTGCGCGGGAAAGGTGGCGGTGGAGGTGGTGCTGGTGGGGCAGCGGCGGGCACTGGGCGCGAAAGTTGTGCGCGTAGGGCGTGGCGGGTGGCTGACCTTCCTTGGGCTGGGCCAGCTGGTGGCCTAGCCACAGCTGGACCTGCCGCCGCTGCCTCACCCTGTGTGCCTACATGGCTGCCCTGGAGCGCCTGGCCCACGACGCTTGCCGCCACCTTGGCCTGCCCGCAGCCCTGCCCTCCCACCGTCGTGCACTGGCATCTGGCTTGACAACCACAAGCTCTGCACCATCAGTGTGGTGTGCAGCTGGTGCTGTGGGAACCGCGGGGCCCACTTTACATGGAGGGGCTGCGCAGGGTGGGCGGCGGGGCTGGCGAGGCAGTGGGGGTATGGGGGCAGGGGTGGCAGCACCAGCTGCTCCAGCGGGCAGCCCGCCACTGATACCTCACACATCATATTCTTAGGAACCTGTCTCGCTTTCAACTCCCCCTAAAATTCTTCATTCAGGCAAGCTTCCAGAGTTCAGACGGCAGGATGCAGATAACCCCTCCCCCTGTCCTGCTGTCTCCCACGGCACCGTGCTGCTCCACGTCCCGCACCTCAAGCCTCCGTGGCACAGAACCGCTGGTGTCCCCAATGGCTGCTGATGCGCTCCCCACCGCCGGGAACCATGCAAGCCCTGGCAATTGCTCCAGCCGAAGAAGCGGGTGGCTGGGAGGCTGCCGTGGCACCAATCTTTTGTGCCCGTCAGCTGGCGCCCCCCTGAATGTGCGCTTGTCAGCTGGGAGGTCTGGCGACGGAGCCGGACGGCATGGAGAGCGATGGGGAGGTGGCGGTTCGGCGGGCGGGTTCTCGCCTGCCTGCGAATGTTGGGCCCACGGGACTCGACACAGAGTCAACGGTCCAACATAACTTCCCTCCTCGGATGAGAAAGGAGGAATCTCTCCTGCCCGTGTCCCTTTCCCTCCCTCAAGCGACAACAGGAGGTTGCAGACAACTAAGTCAGCCAATGCAGGAAGCCCTGGAATGGCCAGTCCAGGGTGCCTGGTTGCAGTGCTGGATGTCTTTTGGTCCTAGAAGCCAGTGGCAAGAGAAAGAAGTCGTTCAAACTTCAAGCTAGCTAGTGGACGCCTATCTCCCCCCTTTTTTGAGTACTTGTCTGCCAACCCACCCCATCTGTAAAAGAAAAAGTCTTCCACCCAAGCATAACTTTTAAGGATTTTAAGGATCTTTGAGAGGGAGAGAGAAATAGAGGGAGAGAAAGAGGGAAAGAGAAAGAGAGAGAGAAAGAGAGAGTGGCAGGGAGAGAGAGAAAGAAAGGGAGACAGGGATAGAAAGAGAGAGAGGGAGAGAGGGAGAGAGAGAAAGAAAGGGAGACGGAGAGAAAGATAGGGAGGGAGAGAGAAAGAAAAGGAGAGAAAGAAAGGGAGGGAGAGAAAAATAGAGGGGGAGAGCGAGAGAGAGAGGGACAGAAAAAGGGAGAAAGGGAGAGAGAAATGGAGAGAAAGGGAGAGAGAAAGAGGAAGAGAAAGAAAGGAAGAGGGAGGGAGAGAGAAAGAGAGAGAGGGGTAGAGAAAAAGAAAGGGAGAGGGAGAGAGAAATAGGGGGAGAGAGGGAGAGAAAGAAAGAGGGAGACAGAGAGAGAGGGAGAGAGAAAGAAAGACAGAGACAGAGATTAAATTAGTAACATGGTTGTTAAGTGAATCTGGTTTCCCCCATTATCGTTGCTTGTGGGCTGGATCTTTTGGTGCGCTCAGCAGTGCAGAGATAGCCATTAACGACCAGGTCTGGACAATTCCTATTGGCTTTCGAAAGCCAATAGAATAGAGTCTATTGCATAGACTCTTAATCTATTCAATAGATTAAAGGTGCCAGAATGCCGTTTTGAGCGTTCTATGAGAAAAAAAGCCCTGGTCTTAGGCGACCCCTGTGAAACGGTCGTTCGACCCCCAAAGGGGTCGCGACCCACAGGTTGAGAACCGTTGATCTATTAGAACAAGATTTGTTAGACGAACAGGTAAAAGAAACAATGTTAATCTGGAGTAGAAATTTTGGTTATAGTATTGACAATAATTGGCAATCATTATGGGACAGAAACAGGAGGTTAACACTAGCCACCTACAAAGAAAATTTATACAAGATGTTTTATAGATGGCAGCTTCCCCCTACTAGGCTAGCAAAAATAGATAACCAACATGCTGAAAGTGTAGAAGGCTTCCAGGGACTATCACATGTGGTGGGAATGTTCAAAGGAGCAAAATTTTTGAAATCGGATTAAAAATTGGCTGAAAGAAATATTATTACAAAAAATTGATTTAAAACCAGAAATCTTCTTATTAGGGATAATTAATGATAAACTCAGCAAAGCATCTTTTTACTTACTACTGCATATTTTAACCACAGCAAGATTGGCATACGCCCAAAAATGGAAAGGAAAGGAAACCCCCACTGAGGAAGAAACAATAAGTAAAATTTTATCCTGCGCTGAAATGGACAGCTCAACCCTAGAGATTAAAGATAAAACTGAAACAGAGTATTATGAAATTTGGAAAAATTTGTACGATTGGTTAGAGATAAGGAGGATCGCTGAGATGATTATCGATTGACTAGTTGATATTATAAGGACTTTTTATTAGTACTTATATTAGGACACAACTGAATGATATGTAAATACAGCGTTGACAATTGAAAAATGGTTTATCAAAAAATTTACAGATGTTATACTCAAAGTCTGTTATACTCTGTCCTGTTATAGAATGTATTTTAAGTTTCTGTCTTTCTTTCTGTAACATAAGGTAATACTAATAGCACTGTTGAAGCCAGGGAAGTTGAATCATGTCCATTTTTGTTTTTAAAATGTACATTTAATAAAATTTGAAAAAAAAAGAATTTAAATTTTGGTTCGCATTGTAGGAGCAGCATTGCAGTCTGAGAGTGCTTCTTGATCTCATCCATTGAATTTATTGCTAGCAACAAATTGCCTTCAACACCTTTACACTGTGATGTCAAGGGTCCCTTCCTGGTTGATTTGGTGACAATTATCTACACCTTGATTACATCTCAGTATTAGAATATGCCCTACATAGGACTACATCTGAAAAATGTAGGAAAGCTACAATTGGTGCAAGATTTTATTTATTTATTTCAGAAAAGGCAGCAATGCAGCAACTGAGCTACTGTATAAAACACAGCCATTGATTCTATGTCTGCATTGAAAGATCTGCAGACTTGCTTATTGGTCGCTACGTGAGATATTTGGATTGACGTCTACAACCTTGAGTAGATGGGAGACTGACTATATCGGGGTGGCGAACCTATGGCACGGGTGCCAGAGGCGGCACTCAGAGCCCTCTCTGTGGGCACGCATGCCGTCGCCCAGTCCTAGGCCTTCAGCTGGGTTTTGTAAAACCTTTTCGCTTTAGGCCTCTGCCGCCATGTGCAAAAAAAAAAAAAAAAAGGTTCAATCAGTCAATTTCAACTTCTGGCAGGGAAAAAAAAGATCTTGCAAAATTGGAATCGATTGATCGAACTTTTTAGCCCCACCCAGTTTGCCATTACCACTGCAGCCATGCCCACCCAATAGGCCACACCCAGCCAATGGGCCACACCCACCCGGCACCTGACGATGCATAAGTGGGTTTTGCGTTGCAGTTTGGGCATTCGGACTCTAAAAGGTTTGCCATCACTGGACTATATGAAGGACCACGTCTTTCATTATAAGTCGGTCCATTTGCTAAGATCTTCGTTGGTTGAAGTAGGTTTCTTATGCTACACCAGGCAAAAATACAGCCAATCGTAGGGATCCCCAGTTCTTGATGTGGTGATCTGTGGTTGTCAAAAGCCAGGAAAGGGAGGAGAAGATCGGCAAATGAACAGACAGGAAGTCAGTTCGGAGGATAGGGAAGAAAGAGGCATCAGCAGGAGCTTGCAGTAGATTTTTATTGCTAAACTATCCTGCTTTTGTGATGACATTGGAATTGAGCTATTTGGTACCATTTGTCCTATAAACTGTTCCATTATTCTGTGAATCAGAGGGGATGATTTAGTGTGAAATAGAACAAAAGAGCACATGCCTGTTTTTTCCCCAAAAAACTCGTATGTGGCATGATACACATTTGAGGGCTGTAGAGAGACTTGCAAAATGTTTCCAAGTGTCCCTTTGACTCCTTTTATGCAAGCAGCTGCTTATTTGTTTTCAGTTGTTCGCCAGGTTTATTTTTGCAGAGCCTTTCTTGGTCAGGTTTTTCAATTGACTGCCAGGTCCTTCCTGTGCCGTGGCAATGATGAATGCAGAACATGAGATAAATTAATGCTGGGGATTTCGGTCCATGTCAGCCCTTTCTTCACTGCATGTCACGTTAAACAAACAAGATGAAGGCAAAGGAAAATGGTAATTGTCTCTCTCAAGATGGGCTGCAGATAAAAGCACTGTTGAATCTAAATGCAGAAATGTGGAAGAAAGGAAGGAAGGAGAGAGAAAGAAAGAGAAAGAAAAGAAAGAAAGAAAGCAGCCTGTTCTCTGAACAATTTTTAGAGCAGTTGAAAAAATCTGCTGTATGATTTAAATTATGCCAATTATTTAAAAAAAAAACCTCACCTAATTGTACACGCATCTCTTATTTATAGCTCCAAAGCTATAGAATTTACTTTTAAATATTTTTAAGAGCAGTAGTCTCATTTCATGGCCACGTTTCAACCTTCTCCAGGCTTGCTCTCCAATCTGTTAGTTTTCTTCTCTTCAAATTCCTTAGGGAGAATATGATGCTGGAAAGAGTGCCATATTTGTTTAAGAGGGAGCTTATTTGAATTGGCTGTAATGTAAGAGAGCCCTCCAAATACATGGCCATCAACTTCTAGGATTCTCAGCAGAGGCCATGTTGGCTGGGAATTCTGGGAAGCGCCCCAGATAAGGGAAGGCTGGTGTAAGAAGTGAAAACTGTTTATCCTGCTGTCTTATTTCCATGGAACTGTCTTTCCTTAAAAAGATGTATTTATGTTGCTGCTTCTGATGTTGTAGTTGAAACCATTTTTATTCTGTTGTTCAGGAGAGAGGAAAAAAATGTATGTCAGAATGGTTTACATATCAGTCCCTACCCTTTGGCTTACAAAACAGAAGTTAACAACCCAAAAGGAATACAGGGTTTGATGGGGGAAATGGGAAATAAAAATAAATATGGAGACTGATTCTATATTATAGGGTAGTTACTTTTTGGGGGGGAGGGTACAAAAAAGCACATCTCTTTTTGCTCTGTTTCTGGCAAACGGGTATTGCAATCCTGCAATCTTTTATTTCCAGGAAGTATGGCAGTTCTGAAGTCATTGGGGCATATGTAATGTTGAAAAAAATTAGGAAAAATGGGCATCATCAAGTTGGTAGAGCTATGACAAATTAATATAAGACAAGGCTTTTAAGCAGGGATGTGAAGATGAAGGCATCATCTAATAATGCAGTGACACAGAGTATTGACCTTAAAGCTTTCTCTATCTTGCCTCTTTAGCTCATGACTGCTATTCAGAAAGGATATGTATCTGGAAGCCGGCTTGCCGTACTTATGAAAGCAGCTGAAGAAAATATTCATCAGCGGGAAGTGATTTCAGTGGACCGGAGTTGTGGTGGACTGTGAGTTGGGAGGTGGAGGGGCTTACAGCTATAAAAAGGGGCGCCCCCTGGTTGCCTCTTTCAATGCTGAAAAACATTCCACTGCTTTCAGATGTTTCTGCTTCTCCTCACTCTGAGCGACTGTGTGCAGAAAGTCACATTGTACAGCTCTCCTTTTTACATTTGTGTGAAGAGTCTACTTGACTGGCGGCCTGTTGAAATGGCTTTCTCTAGCATCCATGCCAAACAAGACGATGAAAAGAAGAAATAGTCCATCTTCCCCCCCTCCCCCCCCCCGGGCTAATCCTGGGAGATGAACACTCAAGCCATGGCAAGGGATCCATGTGACAACCAGACATGAATGTAGATTTCTTTTTTGCAAAAATAATTCGTCTTCTACGTTAATAGGGTCCTCTCTCCATTCCCTTTCTGCCTTTTGATACATTAACCAGGCAAAAGTGGACGATGCCAGCATGCCTTTAGTATCTTAAAAATGGACTTTTTTTGTTAAATGTCCAAATACTTTTTTTCCCTCCCCATCCTTTCAGAGAAGTACATTGTGCTAAATATTCATTGCTTGCCTAGAACTTTGGTACAAACATTTTTTATAATGGCCACAGTCTATTAAAAAGCGCACACCATAAAAATGAGTGATTTATCATGGAGGAGAGTGCTTGCATTTAGAATTTTCGTAGACTGTATTCCAAAATAGAAGTATAATGTCCAACCAAGGAATTGCAGTGATACAATTGTATTTTAATAAGAGGATATGCAGGGCCTAATTCTTCAAAAGTGTTCTAAACCCAAAAAAGCCAGCATAAAATAGAAAATAAACATATCAAATGGTGCTTTTTTACTTTACAGTAGAAAGAAGGAAGCCATTCCTTCCCTGGTACATTTTGTGTATAGAAAAAAAAAAGAGCTAAATCCTGTATCATGTGGGTGGTTTTGGTTTGCTCTGAAATTTTCATAAGAAAAAGGTTTCTGAAATCTTATTTTATTTGTGGTAGGTGCCCCATAACTCCTCAGAAAAATAGTGAAGAAATATTAGGCAAGATTACATTACCTTCTTGCTAGGATTGCTGGTTCAGTTTTAGACTATTTAGGCTATTTTCTAAAAAAAATACTTTTACATATTATTTAAAATGAATTTAGGTGAAAAAAATGCTTCCAGATTACAATGATAAATTAATAGCAAAATCAGTAAAAGGTATGCCCTTTTCTATTTAGAAAATAAAATTACAGCAAAGTACAAACCTAAAAGGAACAAAGTCATGTTACCGTGGAAATTTTGCCTTTGTATCTCTGATGGCCTTGCTCATTTGTTGTTTGTTACAGGTTTTAATAATAATATTCCAATGCAATTTATAGATCAGTAAGAGTTGTAGTACTTAAACTTGCAGATCCAAATTCTGTCATTTACTTATATTAGTGTTTCAGTGCTGTGCATTTCTTCACTCTTCAGAGCAATCTATAGGAAAGGGCCATTTATAAAAATAAAGTTAAAATTCAGATTTACTCTATATTCAAAATTTGAGTATATTAAGGGCATCTCTTGCTAGAAGTAGACATTGCCCTGCCCAGTCCAGCCTAGCCCAGCCGTTAGCATGAAGCACTCCTATTTTCTATTTGGAAATTTAGACAGCATTGAAGGAAAGGAGCAAGGTCTTCATAAAGGATATTAAAAGGTAGAATTCTAAAATGCCCTCTAGCAAAATTCTCTGCAGACCATTTCCCATGTAAGTTACCGTTATGATCAAGAAATGTCAATCCTGTGTTTTATAGGTTAAGAGTAGAGATGGAAGCCAAAGCAAGAATCTCCTCCTCTTTAGGCCTGGAGCACTTCAGAATGACTTGGAATACAGGCCTAAACTGGGCCTGCATTTGACAGTAGGAGATCTCTCTTTGAGCACAAAGAGTTGGGGTATCTTTGTGGTAGATCTTTCTCCTCCTCCCCTACCTCCCATCACCAACATATATTGGATGATTTTTACATAGCACTTTCAGCTCGTTCCATTTTCCTTTGACCAAAAAATGCCAAACCTTAACAAAAAGCTATTATAAATAACTCTTCTAAGATTGCTGAAGTGTGGAGAGGTCCAGAAAAACAGTTGAGATGCCGGTCATTACACATTTAATTAATAATGGATGCAACATTTTTCAGTGTTTGGGGCAAAAGATTAATGGCAGATATATGGATCCAAGTGCATCTTGTCCATGTGAAACATTGAGGGTTAAGCAAACACCCAAAATATAGTGAGGCTGAGGATCATAGGGCTGATATATACCAAGGCTATCTATCACAGTTCTTAGCAAAGAGTTTTAATGAGCATTTGCGTGCACACCTTTAGAAATAGACTTCTCTGATAACCAGACATTGGCGTAATGTCTAATGTTTGTCCTAAACCCAGCAAAGGTCTCTTCACAGGGTCTGCCATGTTTTCCTATTGATGCCATTACACCATGATCAAGAAGCCATGATTTCTTTTACGCATTGCCTGCATAAAACTAGTTGAACTCTAGGAAATGTTTTAGCCAACACACCCCTCGGCTTCCTATGGGAAGGGAAAATTTTATTCCCCCACATCATTTTATACATTTGCTCACTTCAGTTAAAAGTAGACTCTTGGAATTACTTGGTTTCTCTGTGATAGTATTTCTTTGTATATTTGGAAGGGAATATACATGAATGTATAGGAAGCACAAAGCTCTTTTTTGTATAACAGTAATTTGGTGTGATACTGATGTACAATTGTTTTGAAAACAAAGAAATACAGGAGCAGGGTGTTCTGTAGTGGTTGTGTGTGGGGATGAATAGGTAAGCACACATTTATCTATGCATATATGCATATGTATACATATACATATACCGCATGTTTTTCCATCTGGCACTTTTATGTATTGTGCTGGGTTATTGTTCAGGATTGGACTGCTAAATACTGTGTTTGAGGCTGGGTTGTCATTTTTATAACTGTCTTGGTGTTTTATTGCCATTATTTATTACTTTTGATATACAGAATGAGCTGCATGCATTTATAGAGCAATAAGAGGATGTATTTAATGTGCCTTGTTTTTAACTGAATAAGATCTGAAAGCATGAATCAATAAAACTGATTAAAATGGTCCACTCGTTGGCATTTTGATGTTAGTGGCAGTTACGGAAATAAAGTTGATTAGCTCGGAAACCCCACCCCCAGCTACCTTCTTTTTTCCTTGATTTCTTTTCTTTCCTTGTGATTAAAAAAAAGTTTAAAACAATCTCTTAAACCTCAGTTTTTAAGAAATGATATGAATTCTTGACCTTAACTTTATATTTAGAAGGACATATTAAAGAGAAGCCTGTCATGCAGTATTAATAACAGATATTGTCATTGTCATGTTTTGTTGCTACTACAACATTCCACACTTCTCCTCCTCCTCCGGATAATAAGCAAATGACAGATTGTCTCCTGGTTAGACTTTTTAATTTTTTTAAATTTTTCATTTAACCACCTCTCCTCAGGTGCCACGTTCCCAGCCCACCCTGATGAATTTTATCATGATTAAAATCAATAGAAATAAATGGAAAAGATTACATAATCCATTTTGATCATCTTACATGTCAGGTTAGCCCAGAGTCGCCAAATCCTGACAAATGTTCTGACATGGAAAAAGGCCATGTATTTTCGGTGAAAGTAAATCAGCAAAACTGTTTATAAAATTTTAATGAAAATGTTATAATTGTCATATTCTTTTATAGTTTCTAATTTACTCTTGGAGTAAGATTTTTTTTCCCCGTACACTTTGTAGCCATACATGCACGAGCATGTAATTAAAAAATTCTTGCATCTGGGATATGTGCTTGCCTTGTCACAAGCAGACACAATCTTTATTGCATAACAAGTAGCGTGACAGAAAAGCATCTTTCCACATCTACCATTTTATCCAAAACTTCCAGAGTTCCACTGCCTTTCTTCTACCAAGTGGTATCTTTATTAAAATGTGTATTACATTTATTTTTATTAAATTTATTAATGCTTTTTTTTTCTGGCGTGACCTCTCAGTAGGAAGAGATTGCTGGTTTTCAATCGATTTAGAGCCCGTGAAGAATTTAGGATAAAGTGAACCTATTGAAGTGAATCTGTAATGGGGACTTTAGTTTTCAAACCTTGGAAGAAAGGGGTACACAAACGGTCCTGGAAATATCAAAGTGATGTTAGTGTATCTACAGCAGTGCTTACAAGGTAGGCCCTTGCATAAAGAAGAATGAGAAGCTTTGATAGACTAGCCATAGTTTGTGGGGATAGGGTTAGGGCAGGGGTAGGCAACCTTGGCTCTTTTATGACTCGTGGACTTCAACTCCCAGAATTCCTGAGCCAGCCATGCTGAGGGGAAAGGGAGAGGTTTCCAAGCTGAGCCATGCTGGCTCAGGAATTCTGGGAGTTGAAGTCCACAAGTCATAAAAGAGCCAAGGTTGCTTACCCCTAGATTAGGGTGTATACAAAATGGATTCCATTTTCATTAAATGTTAATTCCAACTCATAACTAGTACTTTAAACATTTAGTGGATGCAAATGTACATCTCATCTCTGTTCATCAAGCCCTAGCATACTAAATGCTTTATGTGGCACGTTTTCAAGACTACAGCACTGATTTTAAAATAAAAGAAATAGCTATGGAGGTTGTCATTATACTTATTATGTATTTGCCCTTTTCTCGCCTTCTGTCTTCTGCCTTCCCTATTTATAAAAGGATACCCAGCTATGCTTCTTCCTCCTCCTTCAGATTGGTTACTGTATGTCTTATTGTGATAGTCCCAAAGGTGCTTTATCAAGAGGCAACTGGACTTTCTTGTTTTTCTTTGAAGATGTTTTGCTTCTAATCCAAGAAGCTTCTTCAGTTCTGACTGGATGTTGGGGAATGGAAGGATTTGTATTCCTTGCAGATAGCTGGTTATTTGCATTCCTTTTAGAGAGTTGTTGAGGCCACTTGGAGGTTTATCTCTGTCCTCAGGGTCACCTGAGTGGTGTAAATGATGTGGAGCCTTCTTGGAATTGCTGAAAGGAGTGTTGTAGACTGGAGATGGACGATGTCTTATCCCTCCCCCTCTATTGAGATAGGGCTATTCAGTTTTGACATTGGACTCTTTCTGTGATACCATAATCTATGTCAGCAGCCCTTAACCTTTTCTCTACCCCGCACCCCTAGAATGCTTCTGATATATTCTCGCACCCCTTACAAAATTTCAAAAGGAATTATCCATATACACTATAATTTTGAAACTTCTAAACCCAAGTTTTCGCACCCTCTGGAATATCGTCTCGCACCCCCAGTTGGGAACCCCTTATCTATGAGATGTGTGTGTAATTAACATAATCCTTACAGTTGGGACAGCCTTGAACTGGTCTAAATTGTAAACTGACTCAAAGCACTTTAAAAAAATTGGTTCTGTGGATTTCTTCTTCTCAGTTACCTCTGGGCATAAATGGAGAATTGTTCCCCGCTAATCTGTTCTGGTGATTTTATTTTACTGAACCGCTGAGATGCTTTTAGTTTTGCATCTCCTCAATTAACTGATTTGCAATTCATTTTTATGCATGCTGAGTTTTTCCTGTCCAAGTCAAGAAGCTGTAAATCTCTGATCTA